CATTTGAGAGATGTGGAATACAGTAAACTGGTGTTTAAGAACAAATCCACCAGTGTATTGGTGTTTATTATAGTTAACAAATTTTACAAAGTAAATTGTCACTTGTGCTGTAGCTGTTGCACGGTTGTTATAGCTCTGTTAAAAATTTCTTGCAATACATTTGATGCAAGAAATTTTAGAGTAGCTGTTAAGTAACGAAAGCAATGCTGCAGTATATCCACTTAGCTTTCGAGCTGGTCATTGCTCTCAACTTAGCATATTATACCTACGAATATCTACTTTTAAAAAGTAAAACACACATGTTTTCTATCAAGTTAGAAATGTTGTGTATTATATAAAATGGAAGACCTCAAAACAATTTTAAACCAGAACTCAGCCCAACCCATACCAAAAACCCAAACTGCACACTCACAAACCTCATGAACAACTCATAAACCCAAATTAATTTCAAGGATCGTCTCTGTGCGATACTTGCCTCTGGAGACTCTAAAAAATACCTCGGGCATGAATTACAGAGCAAGAAAAGCTTTATCGACGTTACTCGGTCAAATTTGGAAAAGAAGTCATCACTACGGTGGGTGAAAGCTTGTTGAATCGGGGCCAAGGCCAGGGTCAGTTATTACACACATACAGGTATAACATAACTACTTTTGGCACTGTTGGCTGGCACACAAGATTTATCTAGATATGCAATATCCCCAAGTATTTTATCTAAGAAAAATAACCAACTTTACTTTCAGTTTAACATTGTAAAAAAACCTGGTAAACGAATTCAAATTGGCATTATTACCTCTGGGTTGGCAGGTTTTTCAAAGTTCAATTTGTATATTTCTTTCAACAAAGTTAGAGTACGGATTCCTCCATCATAACAAAAAAAGAAAAATACAAAAACTTTAATTGCTCTCAATAGATACGATTCTTCACAAAATTAATTCCTCAATATTTTCAATTATAAAAACAAGATCACAAAAAGGAAAGGTTTAAATGCAGGCTATTAATCCCCAAACAAAATTAAGTAAGATTGTTTGAAGTTCACACAGTTGCCAACAAGTCCTGCAACCATATAAATTTATGAGTGAATATAACCATTTTTCAACAAGAAAGGAAAGAAAAAAACAGGAGTGCTTCAAAAAATGATAATCAGTCGTTTTCCAAGTTCTGAATCACAAAAACTATTCAGTCAGATAGCAACCACAAAAAATCCTCTAATACCGGTAAAATCTGATCAGTAGTCCACCTTGTGTGTTGGAGATATTACTGAATTATTTTCAAAATCATAGCTTTTAATTTGGACTTATGGGATCACCAAAAGTGACGAGAACACTTTTCCTAGTTCTGAATCAAGTTTACCAGTTCTGGATCGTAACAAAAGGTTCTTCAGGAATAAAAAGTAACCATGCAAGATATCCATTTTGCATCCAGAACCATTAGAACGAGCTAATTTTCTAATGAAGAATTTCTTAATTTAGAGAAAATTATTGCGTAAATAAGAATTCCGATGAATCAAAAGGTAGCACTTGCGTAAATTTTTACGCGAGTTTTTCAGCTGTGCAGTGAGCTATCAATGATACTATCCACCACACCGCACAGTTGGCGAACCCATTATGTCACATACATGTACATGTATATTTCTGCTGCGTCCATGTAGTTGAGTTCACAACATAGTTGCATGCAGATAATGTGCGATCCGAAACGATCATGGCTAGGGGAAAATGCGTTCAGTTTTTGGCCAATTTTGAACAAACGGAAAACCTAAAAGGCATTTTAATTAAACAGACATTAGATTCAAAAGTTTATATGACTGTTGAGTATGGAAACGTATTTGGAATCACATTTACTGAGTGACCTTTCTCCCTGTAAATTTTTGTCGACTTTATGGCTCCCATGATTTTTGACAAACCACTAAAAAATGTCAAAAAGTGTGAATCAGAAATCTGGCCGAAATTTCCTTTCTAGAAATTTTCTGAGAGCAAAGTTTGTACAGAAAGCTTACATTTCACCTTTCAAGCAGAACTGTCTTGGAATGTAGAACTGAAGAACAGCACAAAAGAGGTAGGTTTTTATTTCAAGTGATCGAGAACTAGGAAAATGATTTCAATGAGTACATGTACGTGTAGCCTAATTCACGCTACAGAAAAGCTATCCTTTTCGCACAACAATCAATGGAAGTAAGTATGTTCCCTGGGGATAAAGAACTATTTATGAGAGTCACTCACATCCGTTTTCTTTTTTTTTTTCATGGTTCACCGTTGCAATGTTTCATGTGAAACCTAATCAGAAAGTGAAAAGAGGTCAGACAGAATTGTGTACTCCTCATGTAACCATATAGCCCTTCAGACCAGATAAAAAACTTCATTTGAGGGAGATGTGTGCTGAAATTGTAAGGTGCACCGTTCACGATGTGCCCAACTTATCCCATTTTCTGTGGCCAACGCAGCAATCCCATCCACGCAAATTTACTAAGGACCCTTCCACTGAAAAAATCCTGTACCGATGGGTGATCATAACCCATAACTGTTGTATCACTAAATATTAAATAACTAGGTATTTACATGTACTTTCTTTTTTTTGGAGGGAGGGAGGTTATTATGCTCTTGATAGGGCATACTACCATGCCTTGCCTTTAATAGTCATTGCTTATTCCATTCTATAACCATCAAATGCTTACAGCATCACACGGCAGTTCCCAAAACAACAAAATGGCAAACCCCCCACCCGACCGGGTAACACAGACCCACACTCACACCCACTTTCCATTAAAAAACTCAGGCAATCTTGGACAAAATACTTGGAACACCATGTGGTAAGTGCAGTGAAAAAATCCCCCTCTCCCCCATTCAATGTTACGGTCATTCATTGGACTAAGATTCGGCTTGGCTTACCCAATGAGAAACAACAATGACAGGGGGAGAGGGGGAGGCATATTCCAATGATATTTGTCCAGGATTGTAGGTTCTGTACCATGTGTTTGTACACAAATATGATCCATGCCCACAGCACATGCACGTTGCAAGTACTTTGTCACAATAAAATTTGGGGGGAAAGTAAAAGCTCAGATAACTGACTCAAAACGGGCGGCCTCGAACCAGCTTGGAGTGATTCTTTGAGTCCAGAGAGGCCAAGACCAAGTCATTGAGTCGTGAGGTCAAGGCCAAGGCTTTCAAAAACTGGCCTTTAGGCCAAGGCCGGCCCCGAAACCTCCAACACTGGTGACCAGTTCTGTTCAGTATTTATGAAGGAGGGTCAAGGCAAGATATTCCCATACCCATTAAAAAGTCTCACCAGAAACAGTTCTTACATAGCTGGTATCACAGTTGTAGCCCCTAGTAGCTATAATACTTTTAATGCAAATGTGACTCCACTCTTTTAAACAGGTGATAGATCCATCCAGTAAATTATCGTCCAGTTTCCCTCGCTTCAATCAGATGTAAATTTCTTGAACATTAAATTCATGACGATATTATAAACCATTTGGATCAGTATCCCAAGGAACAGTTGTTGGTCCTCTATGATAAATAACATTGCTGCAGAAATGATCTTTCATGTCAAAGCCAACTGACAAGACTAATCAATGATGTTGCTGGAATTGTGGATTCCAAAGCTTAAAGGTCACCATCAGGCTGACTTGATAATAATGGATTTTAGCATGGTATTTGACATTGTACCTTGTTGGTTTAATATCAAGGAGATACACTAGAGGAAAGACGCATCAAAGCCAGACTCATCATGATTTACAAGGAATCACATGGGTTGATACCAAGCAAAACATTGACTGGTTTAGACATAACAATTCTCACCAATCCTGTACGCTATGTGGCCAACATTCATTTATGTAACCTGCTTCCGGCAAAGATTGTTTCAAGTACTCCTGCCCCCAAACAATTCTAGAATGGAATCTCGTCAGAAGATATCCGGACAGCTTCAAGCCTTTCAGCCTTGGATACTGTGGATGTTAACCACTTTCCGCCGGGATTTCTTGTACCGCACAGGTACATGTATTCTTTATACATGTGACTGAGGTCTCCGAAATCGGACAAAGGGATGGTCTTGTAACAAAAGACTGTACTCCAAACAAAAGACCAGGCTGCTGAGCATTACCAAAATTTGTTTACTGTCAATAGTCTAGATAATCCAGCCTTGTTTTGAAGCAGTATACCACAGTTTTGGCGCTTTAGCGGGGACAGAAGTGCTCCACCTCCGCAGCGATGAGCTACACAGCACCGCTGCACGCTAATCTGGCCCCTATTGAAAAGAAGTCGGCAGCACACTGAGCCAGTTTCGTGAGCAAAAGAAAATTACGTAACACCGCAAAATCTGGGCTCATTTTACAAGCCGGCAGGCTTGGCTGAAATACTCCAGTGTCAATAGATGTTGTCTGTTAGATTAGAGTAGGAACCAGACAGTCCTTTGCGTGGATGTAAGTGTCCAGTAAATGAAGATAGGATTTTTTAAAGAATTTTGAAAACAGAAAGAAATTATAATTATGCCGCCCCAGCATTATCAACATTGATAACTGCCACTGGCGCGAAGTAGTTAAAAATCTAGTTTAACTGGCTCATTTGAAAATTTAATTTTGCTGCCGTCACTCTAACCCATTTGTATGTACATTGAAGCAGAAGCAGAAGAATTCACCATTGGAAAGTGAGCATCTCATGGGAAAAAGTGTGACCCAGATATAGCAATCGTGCATAGCTCTAAATCATTGTACCTCATCCATGATTTTTTGCGGCTGATAAAGAGTTGTGTAGTTAAAAGTGTCAATCTCTTAGCTGAAGAAAAACCCTCTGGGGAATTAATATGACCCACTTTGTCAAAATAAAAAAAGGCCATTTTTTTTCCAACTACATTTGTTTGCGTTAGAGAGAATAACTCAAGCTCTTTGTGTTGATGTACATGTCTTTCTTAGTGTGCGATCCTAGTAAACAGTATGAAGATGATATGTGGAAGATTATTATTCCAGTTTACTTTCATGCAGATTCTTTGTTTTGTTTTCCAAACAGATGGAACTGCCAGCATTTCTCTTAGTATGTGGAGGCCCCCAGGTTGACTGGTCTGATCGTAATTTAGCCCTGGCTGCTACTAACATTATGTTCAATCCACTTTTCTGGAATATTGTAAGTAATCACTGCATTTGCAGGACTCTTCCAAGTCTCAGGATTTGATTGGTTCCCAGCACAATTTGCAGGGCCATTAAGCATATTGTAATTATCAGATATTACATGTAGTACCATACATGTACATGTGGCACACTGGTTTGCTGCCCTGTGTCTGCAGCGCAGAAATGGGTATCCCTTTTTAGTTTTATGTTCCCCATTTTTACTCTTGACCAAAGAAATAACACATTTCTTATTCAAGTGATGGAAGAAACAAAATATTTCAATATCCAAATAAGTTGAATTTCGCCCATCGTTGATCATTCACAAGGTGACAAAATTCAGGCATCTGGCTGTGGGCATGATCTGTAAGTTCTTCTCTCCAAAAACCTGTTCACTTTGTGCACAGTGTCTCTACATGGTATTTTGGTAATGTATATGTAGCACTCTTGCATTTCAATCAAAGTTACACCAAAGAAAGACCCTAACATATAGATGGTCCTATAAAACAATTATGCCATGATGTCATCAGATGTCAAATTACATGCACTTAAAGTTTGATATGTTATACTTTTAAAAATCTATGACTTCCGGCAACTTATTTTTTGTAGCAAGTGATAAAGTAACCTTGGGCCTTCATTTTTTTCTCTGTACGTAAAATCATTTGACCCTTGCCTCTGGTCAAAATGGGATGTGCCTTATTACTTAAAATTGGTATCAGATATGAACTTGCTTTCAACAGTATTATTCTCTGAGCAATAGTATTCCTTAAAACATGTACCAGTAAAAATCATGCATTATTCGAGCGCCCTCTGGTGGTATGTTGAAAAAAATTAAAAACTTTATTTTGATTAATGTCTGTGGTGAAGTTTGTAAACCACTTGAAAATTGGTAGATACAGTCGCATTTATGTATAGAACACATATCTGAAGATTCAGGATGATGATGTCATCAAATGTTTAATTTTTCAAAAATTGCTAAAAATCAGTTGTAACCCAAAAGCATGCTTACGTTCAACCAATGTTGGCCGACATTGGTGTGACAACCGTCGAGCCGTCATTGTGACATTGTCAGGCAATGTTGGCCCGATGTAAGTTTTTCCATCGGGCCTTCGTAATGCCAACGCATTGGCTGGAGTCAACCATAGATAGATAATTTTGACGTTTGGCAGACAAATTATTACAAACGTTGGCCCGACTTAAGTTTTTCCATCGGGTCATTGTAATGCCAACATGTTGGCCGGACGTTGACCCAACAGATTATTTTGACATTGGACTGACGTACTTGACACAAACGTCGTGCCAACCCTCATTTTCCGGCATTGTTAAAATGTGGTCAAAAGATGTTGGCCCAACATTTTTTCCACTGAGCCGTCGTTAGTCCGACGTGTTGTCATGACATTGTGCAATCTGATTATTTTTCTGCCACGTATTTTTCATAGGGGAAACATTTCCATGACACACTTTTTTCTAGCAAATTACAATCAAACAGACAGTGAATCATATCTCTTTTAAGATTTCTGAAGTAGCCGGATGCATTTTTGCTATCTCAATGATGCCTCAAATCTCCAAACACACTGGTGTACCATGTGGATGTATACTTGTGCAGTGCCATCTTTTTGTAGAGGTTGGGGTAGTATTTCCAACCTGAAAAAAGGAAGATGTCGATGATTGTAGTAGCAAGTAATTAGTTGAGCCAAGATCTCTGTTTTAAGCTGAAAGTGCCACACTGGAAATATTTAGCACAAGTAATTGTGAAATGGTATCCAAATTTGCAGACTCATTTGTAACACACTGATTGTCAGTGATGACGAGGTATACATGTCACGAGAAGATATAAAAAAAAGATTAATAATATTTAATCCCATTCAATTAAACTCTAAAAAATGAATAGTCTTTTTTGATGACTTGTAATAAATAACTACATTGAACATCTGCCCAGACCGACAGACCATATTTTGGACAGATCCAGGGTCCAGTTATCACAACCCCTTTCACAAATGCTTAAGGTCAAAAGCTATGAAGAAGTTTAGTCTTGACCATGGTTGTGACAGTTAAGGCAAAAAAATTCTGCTTTTTATTACATGCCTCTAAAAAATAGGGTCGGTACATGTAGGTCAGAATTTTTTGGATGGGAGGGGTTCTGTGCTGTTCTGTTCTGTTTGAATGGCATGAATGGGGACAAAAGATTGCCAAAATCATTTCAAAATGTGATACAAACCTGCCTTAATCTATGTACAAATTTCTACAGTCGACAATTCACAAGCAGGTGAACAGTTCACACAATGCCAGTCAGGTATTCATGACAGTATTCATGCATGTAGTGTAATGGACGTTTAGACTGGTTGGCACATTTCCATCATGCCTTCTTTTGCACAGGCATGGTGCAGCGAAAACGAGTGCAGCATTGCTTTGATGCATTGAGATTTGCACGCGTGTTTTCACCACTGCATCAATGAAACATGAAGGGAACTTGTGAAAATAACGGAAGTTTCTTTTCAAAAATTTCAAATATAAGTAGGAAAACACGTAAAAACGACAAGCAGTGGAACGTCAATCTGTGTAGGGCAACACACGATGTTCACCAAAAGGGCATCCACAGCTAAAGCAGAAAAGGGAAATTCATACTAAAAGGCATTGAGGCCAAAAGGGAAATTTGAGCCCTGGGGTTCTTAAAAGAACTGGTGGCACCTAACTTTTCAGACAGTATGCTCTGTCTGTCATCAGGGGACTGTCCACGATTGACAGAGCAAACTGTCTGAAATGTTGAGCACCACCGGTTCTTTTCTGAATCCCACATGCATAAAAAGAGATATATCCATGGTGTTACCGTAAACCTATCCAGTTTACTTACACATAGTTTGTGAAAATGCACTCAGAAACATACACATTTAACCATCTTATGCCAAATAATGTAGGACAGTGTTGGCTAGTGAAGTTGTAACACGTTTGATAGGTGTTCTATGTAAGAATTACTTGAAAGCTGTAATTTTGCAAATTTGTTACCTCTGCTAACCACTTTAGCCCAAGCTTTATTATACTATAATAACAGACACGGAAGACACATATCACATCTTAAACGTACCATTTGTAGACAAAATACAGCTTGCAAGTACAGAAATTGGAACGCTGTGTCGAATCACACTTGTACATGTTGCAACACTCGCAGCTTACTCTAGACAGCGACGGTTGTAGCAGCTCCAGTATCTGTCATGTTTCCAGATAATAAACACTAAAACCAATACCCAGTGACACGACACAGTTCCTACAATGTCTTCTCCACTAGAAAAAGCAGAAATGATGGAGTTTTCTCCAAAACAACATGGCTTGGTTGCAGTTCACCAATGGTTTCTCAAATCTTGCCTGAATTGTAAGGGTTCTGTGCTGTAAAGTTCAAATTGCCCCCCTCAGCACAGGCAAACCGGAATACAGGGTCACCCCATAGGTCACTTAAGTGGTGGCATGATTGATGCACACCATATGTATCCTCGTGGTTGTACAGTATTTGTATGAGTAGAGGTCATGCGTGCCATGATCATGTATTCAAATTTTATAAACATACACGTTTTATCTCTGGACGTTGTCCCTGCTTTAAGTGTTGGCATATCGAATTATCTGACTTACATGTAGTAAAAGGTTTTCCGAATCATTCCTTCAAAGTGTGCCTTCATTTTTCTGACACATGTTAACAAATAACCTCATGAAATATTCAATAATTAACCAATACCAGTGAAACCCTGAAGTCATGTATACTGTATAACACTCTGGCAGAATGTTCTTGATGTCAAATAAATGTTCTTGATGTCAAATGAATGTCAAACTCATCACCAAGGTCAGCACAATGCTGGCATATTCCAACATTAACATACATTTGTAACTTTAATACAACGTAATGTCAGCAACTCGACGTGAAATACATACATACAAACCAATCACCAACATTAGCACACAGTTTGCATGCTGACGTCAAAGTGCATACTGGACCCTAACATTGGCACAATGTCGCCAACTCAACAACATAAACCAATAGCCAATGTCGGCACAGAGTTGGCATGCCAATGTCAACTTAAAAACTGGACGCTAACGTTGGTGTAACATTGGTAACTTAACATCAAGTATATAAAATGATAACTAATGTTGGCACAGAGTTGACATGCCAACGTCAAAGTTCATGCTGTATCCTAATGTCGATGCAAAGTCTATGGAAGAAAAGTCTATGGGGATCTAATCTTCCTAAGTCTAATCTTCCTCGGAGTCGATCCTACTTTCAGTCGTACATATAACCCGTACATTTGACCCACACAGACCCCCAACTCAAACTGTATGTGTCTCGCCAAACCACACACGGAAGCCTGTGTCCGGTCTTGGCACAGCGAGGTCAATTACCTCCGCTCACCCTCAGTTTTACCCCATAAGAATTACGTGTAGATTTCCTAGCTATTCAGAGACTAAGTGTTGTACACAACCCAATGTACCGAGAAAGGCTCACCCTTTCCTTTCCCTCGTTGACCAAGTCCCCCGTAGCTCACCCACGAACAGCCTTTCACCCTCCCGCCCCCAAACTTTTCGGACCTTATCGCTCTCCAGAAACTAAGTCAGCGAAGACCAAGTGTGTACAAAATCCCCATAGATTTTTCTTCCATAGACTACATGTATGAATTATTCATAACCACCCCAATCCAGTGCTCCCATTGGCTAAGACGCAGCCCCAAAAGTCTATATAAAGCGACCAGCTCCAGCGGTCAGCATCGATCATTCCTGAGCGGGCAGCTTTGAAGAAACAACTCCCTGACCATTCATGAGTGTATAGCTCCGATATGAACAACCTTTCTCTCACTCCCAAATAAATAGTCAGATTTGGACGAGCAGTACTTGAGTAATATCCAGCCACACTAGTAGCAGTTGCTCATTGTAAATATGGAGAAGATGTAAATAATTCTTCGGAATTAAACAGTAGTGTGTGTATAAGTCAGTCCAATGACTCTCATTCTTTATGGTAACAACTCCCTACCCCAAGAGAGA